TCGAGGTACTGCGAAACGTGGGTTTACCTGATAGGTTTATAGAGTGGGTGGGACTGCTATACCGAGGGATCAGCAGTAAATTTATTGTAAACGGGCATCTGACAAAAGCAGTGCAAATCAACTGCGGTGTCCGTCAGGGTTGTCCGTTATCTGCCCTCCTGTACATTTTATGTATCGAACCTTTGGCACAGCTCTTGAGAAGGGACAAAGGAATCAGGGGGGTGAGCATCCCGGGTGGGGGGGGCTCACCTCCCAAGTGTTTTTTATACATGGACGACGTGAGTATTTTATGCACTGACCTTTTATCTGTTTTTAGGACTTTGGACCTGACGGACTTTTTTGGACTGGCCTCTGGGTCGAAATTAAATAGAAACAAGACCCAAGCCCAATTTTATGGACCGTGGACCCCCGACGAGACTGTAGGACTCCCCCTTACCGTGACCCAAGGACACAAAATACTGGGAATCAGGTTTGACCGGGAGGGGGGCGGGAGTCTAAATTGGGCAGACATTTTAGGGAAAGTCAGGAAAAGACTGGGGTTCTGGGCACTTAGAGGACTGACGTATGAAGGGAAGATTTTTAATCGTCAAAGCAGTGATTTTACCGTTGTTTTTACTAACCTGTTCTGTTTTTATCCCACCCAGATCCACGATTTTAGCTTTGGAACGAGCCATTTTTAACTTTTTCTGGGGGGGAAAATGGGAACGGTTGAGGAGGGAGGTCCTAAAGAAGCCTAAGGAAAAAGGAGGCAAAGGCGTCCCGGACCTCCCCCTCTTCCTTGGAACCAGATATACGGCACTGCACTTGGCACTTTCCCAGGACCCATCCAGAAACCCAAAAACTACTGCCTTCGTCAGATACTGGATGGGTTCCTTTTTAAGAAGAAAAAAGTTTTTAAAGTCAGATCTCAGAGTCCCCGTGTCTTTTAATTTGCCTGTTTTTTACGCTTTTATCCCCACTTTTTTAGAGCGTTTTAATCTGGCACATGAGGGTTTGCAGGTTTTAACCAATCACAAATCAATGATCTCTTCTGTGCAGGAGCGGGAACCCCGTGAGTCCGGTGCGCGGGCTCACGATAGGGGAGCCCACCACGGTTTGGCGCAACGTGAACCATCCTGCTCTCCCGAACAGACTCCGGGACCTGTCCTGGCTGGTTGCTCATGAGGTTCTCTCGGTCAGGTCCGTCATGCACTCCCGGAGGTTATCCCTGACCGCAACCTGCCCCCGGCCGGGTTGTGGCGCGCCCGAGTCGGTGAGGCATCTCCTCTGGGAGTGCAGTGCTGCCAGAGATCAGTGGGCTACAGCCGGCACCTTACAATTCCCGTACCTACCAGCAGGGGAGGTCCTTACAGCACAGCTGGTGCTGTACGGGGTGGGCCTAAGTCCGACCACCTCAAAAAAGGACTTCACGAGAATCTGGCTCACCCTCGCCGCCATCAAAGACGCCATGTGGACCTCCAGAAACCTGCTGGTAGGAAAGCACATGCAGATCCCCCCCGTGGCTGTGATCCGGAAGGCAGCAGCTACGGTCAGTGAGACCGTAGCTGCAGGCGGCGGGCCCTAGGACACAGTCACAAAGAAGAATCGCCTCTGTGCTCATTCGGATGAAGGTGACCGGAGCCTTATCTCGAAGGTCGAGGTCGCAGCGGCCTGGCTCTCCGGGTGCGGTCGGAGGGAAGGAGCATCGGAGAGCCCTCGGGAGGGACCAACAAGGGAACGAAGCAGCTCCCCTCTGATCGCAGAGAGCGGGCCTTTCCGAAGCAGAGAAATTTTTTTCAACAAATAAATCTGTTCTTATCAGTTTAATATCTGATACGTCCCCTACCCGGGGACCATGTATTAAATTGATTTTTGGAGCAGGGAGACGGAACCCGGGGCTCGCTCCGTCCGCTCCACGCATCCGCCCGGTATTGCAGTACCTCCGGGACCGGTGCGCCTCTTCTCTCAGGTAAATATAAAACCGCCGTCTCCTCTCTCTCTCCCGTCCTCTCGGCCCGTGTCCCGTCTGCGCGTGTTTTCTCCGTCTTTCCGGGTTTATTTGTCCCCCTCTTTTCCCGCTCCTGCCTGGTTTTCTCTACTCTTTCCCCACCGCCCGCCTCCTGCATTCATCCAATGTTTTTTCCCTGTCAGGCTGGCAGCTTCCTTCCTTCCTTCCTTCCTTCCTTCCTTCCTTCCTTCCTTCCTTCCTTCCTTCCTTCCTTCCTTCCTCCTCCTTCCCTCCTTCCCTCCCTCCCTCCCTCCTCCCTCCTCCTCTCCCTCCCTCCCTCCCTCCCTACTTCCTTCCTTCCGGAGTCCTCCTGTAGCCACATTGCTCTTCCCGCTGCCCACGCCTTGTGCAAACGAGTTGCTGTAGCCTACGCGAAAAGAGAGCCCTTTGCCCCCCGCCGCCCGCCCGTGACGGGTGGGCGGGGGGCCCGGCCTGCTGGCCGGCGTGCGTCCCCTCTGGCCCGACACTCTTGTTTCTCTTCAGATCGTACAAATCTTTCGCCTTTTACTAAAGATTTCCGTGGAGAGGAACAACAAGAGATTATCTCAATTTTTGAACGCCCCGTCTCGCGGCGGGGCTTTGCGCCTCTGTCCAAAGTAACTTTCCGTCCTCCGCGCGCACGGCCGTGCCGTCCGCTTAGCCGGTCTTTCGGCGTCGCGTGGCCTAGGTCTGGGCCTAAATGTCGTCCCGGCGGTGCCCGTTTGACTTTTTCCCTCGTCCGCGCGAACGTTCACGTGCGTTAGTTTGCCGCTAACCAGAGGCCGCTGGCTTCGGGGGAGGGCGGGCAGGCAGGCCCGAGAGCTCCTCCTCGGGGTCCGCCCGCCCGCTCTCGGCCATCCGGACCCCGCGGACCGTCCCCGGGCGGCCGCTCCGCCGGGAGCAGGGGCCGGGCTCCGGGAGTAGCGCCTCATACTTACCTGGCAGGGGCGACACCGTGATCACCCAGGCGGTTCGCCCAGGGCGAGGCTCGTCCATTGCACTCCGGAAGTG